CAAATAGAGCAGCCGTGAAATCGCGATAAAGCGGTATTCAAGTTCCTAAACGAAATTAATCTTCCCTTCTCGATAATCAACCAATACGGCAAGAGCGAAATCAGGGTCCCACGTTGGGCGCCAAAAATTTGCGACGTCTTTCGCGAGGCTAGCTCGCGAGCGACGGCAAACAGTCACCTGTCAGCCGCGTCGACAAATTGCCGTCGACTCCGGTTCACGCCACAAAACAAAAACGATGAGGTAGGCGCCAGATGCGGAAAAGGCCGCACCACCTCGATAAACACGAGATGCGACAAGCGACACAAACTTCGCGTGCCCCGGGAATCGTCGGGACCGATAACTCCTCGTGGTTTTAAGTTGGAGACGGGATGGGTTCAGGAATGGCACAAATGACTCCACGCGTATTCGTAATAATGAAATAATGAACTTTATTGACGGGACTCTCGCACGTCACGGTAATAAACGTACGGCAATGTTCATAAAGGAAAATGCGAGACACGAGACGGTATTATGCTCGCGACAATGAAAACCCGAGGACGATCTCCTCAGGTAAGCCTTCTGACACGCGGCCGCTCCGCAGACGAGACAACGATATACGAACGATAACGATAACGCTACGACAAATACGGATGAGAGGTCTTACAAAATCGGCAGCATCCTCTGGGGTCTCCTGCGGCGGTGACGATCCTCTCTCGCTCTCCCGCTCTCTCTCTCCCTCTCTCCGCTAGCTTCTCTCGCTCCGCTTTCTCACTCCCTCGCTCCGCTCGCTTCTTTCTTCTCTCTGTCACAGTCTCTCTCTCTCTTTCTCGTGCACTCTCCCGTTCGTTCCACATACGGTAATTTCGGTAACGATAGCGTCAGGTACTTCGAATAGTCTGTGCGCGGCTACGGTCGCGGTAAGGCCAGCGATCCGTCGGCTTCCAGATGCCCTCCGATCAGATGATTCCAGAGAATCACGTATCCTCGCTGGTCCTCCTCCGTCGCTTCCTTTCTCACCTAACAGCATTCGGCACTCGGGAATCGGCAATTTTTGGTAATTCCTGTCTCGAGACATTACCTGTCTCGAGACACTGTTGTCGTCGTGGATCGGCTCGCTGTCTCTATTGGCGCTCCAGTTTTTTCACGCTGGGATCCGTGAGACGGTCTCGTTCGCTCGCTGCGTCCGCTTAGCGCCCGCTAAAAGTAAATACAGCTGATAGTCTCACGTCTATTTGTGGTAGCTATGCTCTCGTTATCGAATATTGTAGACGTTATAATATTCGTTAACGCCGAGCGATTGGGAAACGTGATAACTTTCTAATGCCAAAATTATAGGAGAGCGATTCACCTGAGCGAGAGCGATGAGCCATCGGTCGCTGCTCTTTCATTCCTCGATGTCCTGAGCTCCGTTGGTCCTGGTGGCCGGCAAGGGAAGCCGAAGGGTACAAAGTTAGGGACGCGAGAACCTTCGAATCTGCTCCGCTCGCACAAATTAATTTCCATATTCGTCCTAGAGACTCACAAAAAAAGAAAATATGCCGGGAGAAAATATGCGGTAGTCATAAATATTCGCGAGAATTCGTTCGCGACGCGACACGCGACGAACAATCACCAAATCGATACGGTTTTTCTTGGAACGGGCGCCTCCGCGGCTGCCACGTCACAGTATTATCTTATGTGCAAATTAACGAAACGAGACAATATTATAATATCGACTTATATTATTCGGCACAATAATCAGCGTGTTAATTTATAAAAAAAGATTAATGAAAGTCACTTTGCATATATGCTGCTATTTATATAATCGTAAATTTTATCAAAAATATTTTTTGTACTCATATTTGTGAATTTGCTAAAAAAATATGTAAAAAGTGATAATGATCGCTAAATGTATACATTTCCGATGTTATATCATATGTTAATATATTAACATGGTTAATATATAAACAATTATATAGCAATTATATAGCAATTATATAAACAATTACGAGCATTCGGATATATTTAAAAAAATACTAGTTATTCTAGAATAATATAAAAGAAAACACATCCATTCTTCGAAGAGTATATTAGAGTAAGAAAGGCGAATTATCACTATGCTGCCCCATCTCACGGTTAAGTATGTACAATTTCTATCCTCTCACATACGTAGATAAGTATAAGGAAAGACAAATCTGTGCACTATAGTTACCGACAAAACAGTCAGTTGTATCGTAATCGATAATTAAG